AATAAAAGGTTGTTGCTTATTAAATCTCTATTTATTTAAATAAAAGTACTAAACCTAACAAATATCTATTTAGTATTTTCTCTCGTCCAAAATTATAATTTTTGATGATAAAGTTTCATAGAGAACTTGGACATGAAAAGAAGAAGAACTTTATTTAATTGAGTTAGACTTTTCGTTCTTTTATGAAAACTTCTTTAGCAACTGGAAAATTTATTTTCTTATACATTTCTTATTACGATACATGCGATTTATACAATATAATTTTTTACATATTACCTTAATTATTAAAGCTCAGCGTCTTTTTTATTTATTTCGACATACATTTTTTTTTTAATATTCCAAAACACAATACATCTGAACTTCGTTAGTTTGATCGTTATTATTTAAAAGCCTCAACAAAACTGTTTYAATCTAGACTAGTGTTTGTTAGCCTAGATATCATCAGTTTAAGGTGTCCTTTATTATTTATTATGTTTAAAATTTATAAATTCCGTTGTCGATGTGATTTAAGTTATTTGTGTCTGTTCTATAATTTACCGTATTATTATTACATATGTGATACGTTTCGCTAATCTTTCGTTTGTACCAGTTTTCCTCTAAATCTAGGATAGGTGCTGCGTCAAATTTAAAAATATGTCCTGTTCTAAAATGGTGTTCAGCTAACGCTGTGGTATTGGTTATGTTCATATTTACAGGTTTACAATCATTTTTGTGTTGGTCTAATCTTTTTTTTAATTTCTGTTTTGTTTGACCAATTCTTCTCACATTCACATGGTATTTTATACACTAAGTTCAACTGGTCAAATTTATTCACTTTATCTTTTAATTTATTGTAAATAGAGTTTATTTTTGTCAGATTATAAAAAACTAGTTTTTTTTTAGTGTTTTTAAAACATTTATTTATTTTGTTTGCTAAAGGCTTAATATACGGGAACTTAATGTACTTTTTATCTTGCAGATTCGGTTTTTTTACACGATCTTTGTCAATTTTAAATTCATTAAATACCATTTTTATGAGACTCTTGGGATAGTTATTGTTCTTTAAAAGAATCTCTAGTTTTTCCTTATTTTCTATGTGAAACTTGTTATTGCTTAATGTTAGAGCTCTAAATAGTAAACCTTTTATAATTCCAATTTTTTGACTTAAAGATGGTTTGAATAGTAATTAATACATCTTTCTGAACTTGTTGGTTTTACATACGAATTTGTTGATATGGTTCCGTCTTCATTTCTTATGACCGTTACATCTAAGAATGGTAATGTTCCGTTTTCTTCTACTTCAATAGTAAACTGGATTTTTTTCATTTATCATATTAAAGGTTTTTAGTACTAATTCAATTCCATCTTTAGGTATTGCAGTAATAATATCATCTACATGTACTTTTAAGAATGGAACTGTAAAGGGTAAGTTGCCTTCAAGTTTTTTTAACACATGATTTATTACCAAATTCGCTAATATTGGGCTTGCTGGATTGCCCATACTAGAACCATCAAGTTGTTGGTAAAAAGATCCATCGAATTGAAAGTAGCTTGATTCCAAACGAAATTGTACTATTTCTACTAAGATGTTTTTTGGTATCGTTATGAAGTTTTTGAGTTCATTTCAATCTTTATTTATCGTTTTTATTACCAGTTTTTTCGGGATGTTTGTGTACAATAAGATTGCATCTAACGATACTATTCTTTAATCTTCTGGTAGTGTTATTTTTTGTATGTATTCTACAAACTCAAAAGAATTCTTAACCGAACACACAAATTTGTTTTTCATAGCTGAGGAAAATTTATGATCTAAAAATTGGGCAATTCTATAGCACAATAAACGAATGCAGCTTACAACTGGTCTTAAGGCTAGGCCTTGTTTATGTCTTTTCCTTAGTCCATATATTTTTGGGGCGACCGAATTGTAAGATTTCATGTTCTTTTCTATCTCTTCCGTGATAATCGATTCTTTTCTTAGTTTTATTATGAAATTATTAGCTATTTTCTCGAATCTACTTTTAGGATCTTTATTCAATAATTGATATATGTTTTTATTTTGCAAGATTTTATGCATTTCATTTAAATATTCTTTTTTCCTCATAATAACTGTGTTATTTCCTTTGTCTGATCTCATTATAATTAAATTGAGATTGTCTTTTAGGAAACGTTTTGTTGTTACAAAGTTTTTTGTTACTTCATCCTTCCATGGTCTTTATTTATTTTTATAATAATTCAAAATTATATTACCAGCTTTAACTCTTACATTGTGTTGTTCATCCTTTATACTCGTATTATCACTTTTCGTGCTATTAATATGTCTTATGCCTTCCTCTAAGTCTTTTATTAACGAACAAACTGGAACTTTATTCGGTCTTAACAAGATACCATATACTGGTTCTCTTAACGATCAAATTAACGAATTTTAGATGTATTGTGTTTTGGATTATTATAAAAAGAAATGTATGTCGAATTAAATAAAAAAGACGCTGAGCTTTAATGATTAAGGTAATATGTAAAAAATTATATTGTATAAAACGCCTGTATCGTAATATGAAATGTATAGAAAAATAAATTTTTTAGATGCTGAAGAAGTCCTAACAAAGGGACGAAACGTCCAACTCAATTAAATAAGGTTCTACTTCTTTTCATGTCCAAGTTCYCTATGAAACTTTATCATTAATAAATAACTTTACATTTAACTAAAAGTACTAAAGTCGTCTGTTGCGTATCCTACGAAACGAGTAAGTAGGGCGAAGCGCCGGGGTGTGTACGGCCCTGCCAAGGCGTATGACATGCGCGACACAGCAGTATCTTTGTTTTTGGTGGTAACCACGGTAGCGCCAGGATGTTTGTAAGTGCTTCTTCTTTCTTCTAGCCCGCGTGCTCCCACCACATTTATTACGCCAATCACATGTATCGACAGCCGCGCTATACTCGGGCTTTTCGGTGATTAGTACAGCATTGCATCGCTTTTTTGTATAAAGCCTAGCGCATTCTGGCGCCTAGCATCACTCTTGATTCTGTGACGTTCCCGCAATTAAACAAACAACCCCACAAAAACTTGCCCTAATTTTAGCCAGTCCGTAAAGCCTGTACTTTGCCAGGGATCCGGGCTAGAAAAGCTAGCCCACGTAAGTTCAAACAAGAATGAGGTGTACTTACCTTTGTTAAAGTATTAAGATGACTTCTGGATCGAATTGTGCCAAATCCTGATAATCCACGGACCTAACTGCTTCTGAATCGATTGTGTCGATTAAACGGTCGCAGGATTTTGGTGTAATATGGGTTTTATTCGTCAGAATAATGTCACATTTTTCACAGGTAAAACCAAAGTATATTCTTATAAAAATTACACAAATGATTGCACAAAATAATACAGAAGTCTATCTTCCTAGCTAACTAAATAAAAAGAGTATCTTGAAAAAGACTTCTCTTGTTTAACGTATAAAGGAGACAAATCTTTAAAAGTTGTCTTAGACTGTCTTAGCGGAAGAGAGACCCTTAGGCACAGAACGTATAAGTATATATTATTAAAAAGTGGTAATTATTATTAAGTTAATATTTTTGAGTGTATAGTTTCGAGATTGCCGGTAGACTGTCGGCGAGGAGTCTTGTGGCTCCCCACGTCGAGCCCAGTACAGCTGAGTGGGAGGTACCCCCACTCGCGTCAAAATACCCCCTCCACTACCGACCATCACCAATTCCTGAGAAAGGAATGGGTCGACTTCTTTGTTTTGCATGCGCAAATAAATATTAGTTACCATCAAGCGCTAAACTGCTGCGTCAGCTGGGAATGGAATTTGCCTCAGAAAAATATCGGTTACTATCAAGCGCTAAACTGCTGCATCAGCTGGGAATGGAATTTGCCTCAGAAAAATATCAGTTACTATCAAGCAGCAATTCTTGGAACTACACGTGCGTCTTATACCTAAGCTTAGAGATTTTCTTTCACTGCACACGTGCCTTTATCACGAGCGCAAGAATTTATGTGCAAGATAACATTATTATTTTATATTATATTTATTAATAATAAGAATTATTTGTTCTATTGATTGCCAATAATCGTCAAAGTAATTCTGGAATAAAGGTAAAGTTTAAATGTTATTCGCAGCCATTATTTAATTATTTATAAATGCTAATATTAATTGCTACAATAACCAAATGTTAATTAACAAACGTCGGTAATGTAGGAGCGCAAAGTCGGTAATGTAGGAGCGCAAAGTCGGTATTACCGACTTTCACTTATCAAAAGACCCGCTTACCGACTTCGGTTGTATGTAATGCAGGTTTCCCTATGAACGACAATCAACAAACGTTTCTATAATTACCATATGTGGTCGAAAACAGTAACCATTGATGGTCGTTCATAAGAGCGCTCAATACAAATAAAATTCACAGTGTATATAATGTAAGGTAAATTATTATAAATAAAATAATCGTATTGTTAAACATAAGATTAGTAATGTTTTCCCAATTGACAAATTACGTATAAAAATATAGAAAGCTACAGTATACAATGTTATTATACGCATATGTAATTTGTGTAGGTAATAATATGTAAGTAACAAAAATTAAAAATTTTTCGTATAATATGGCTATATAATGAATAATATTGGACAACACGCTACGGTATACAAAATCGTCACTAGGACGTGACAATTCATCACGCTTGACTCATCGCTCGAGATTCACCTTGCTTAAAAAGCTGAGACTTGCGAGACCGACTTCAAGGAGAATTACTTGTATTGTGCAATACTACATCATTTAAGTTCGACCAACGACAAGGGACATAGGCGGACCTGCACGTCGCAAAAATTATCCTGATTTGTTCGGATTCTTCGTCAACGTTTCAACCAGGGTTTTTATGCCGAAAGGCTTTTTCCTGACGAGCAAAATAAAGCGTACTTTTTAGTACTGACTGGGCTCAAATATATTTGTTATTGTGTTTTATTTTTCTATCCTCTTTCCCATTAATAAACAATCTCGATATCAACCGTGAGGGCATTTTTCTATTTACTACAAGCCACTGGAGTACCGATTAAGGCATCGGTAGCATCAACATCGTCAATTCTTATTCAATTTAAATGAAAGTACTTATTTCAACAAATTTCTTTCTATTTAAATAAGAGTACCTAACTCTTTAAATCTCATTCTATTTAAATGAAAGTACTTAACTTATCAAATCTCTTTTTATTTAAATAAAAGTAGTTTACTCATCAAATCGATCTCTATTTATATGAATGTACTTAACTCATCAAATCTCTTTCTATTTAAATGAAAGTAGTTATCTTATATAACCTTTTCTTATTTTAATGAAAGTACACAACTTAATAAATCTTCATCTACTTAAATAAAAGTACGAACCTCATCAAATCTCTTTCTATTTAAATAAAAGTTTTTAACTCATACAATCTTTTTCTATTTAAATAAAAGTACTGAACTCATTAAATTGCTTTCTATTTTAAAAAAAGTACTTAACTAATTAAATCTATTTCTATTTAAATTAAAGTTATCAACTCATAAAATCTCTTTTTATGTGAATGAAATTACTCAACTTATCAAATCTTTTTCTATTTTAAAGACAGTAATTAAAACATTATCTTTTTCTATTTAAATGAAAGTACACGACTTATCAATGCTCCTTTAATTGAAATAAAAGTAGTTAATTAATTCCCGTTCCCATAAAATAAAAGTAATCAACACACAATATCTCTTTCTTTTCAAAAAAAAGTATTCAACACATCAAATCTCCTTTTATTTGAATGATAGTACTTTACTCATTAAATCTTTTTTCATTTAAATGAAAGTATTTAACTTATCAAATTTCTTACTATTTGAATAAAAGACCTTATTTTATCAAATCTCTTTCTATTTGAATAATAGTACCATACACATTAAATTTTTTTCGTACTGAAATAAAAGTACTTAACTCCTCAAACGTCTTTTTATGTCAATGAAAAAATTAACTAATTAAATCTTTTGCTATTTAAATAAAAGTAGTAAACTCTTTAGATCTTCTTTTTTTTGATTAAAAGTACTATACTTAATAAATCTCTTTCTATTTGAATTAAGGTACTCATCTCATTGAATCTCTTTTCACTTGAATGAGAGTATTTAACTCATCAAATCTCGTTTCATTTAAATGAAAGTAAACAACACATTATATTTGTTTTTTAAATAAAAGTACTCAAGTTATTAATCTCTTTCTATTTTATTAACAGTATTCATCTCATTAAATCTATTTTTATTTAAATGATAATATTTTACAAATCAAATCTCTTTTTATTAAAATTAAAGTTTTTAATTAAATAAATCTCTTTTTATTCGAATAAAAGTACTTCACTTTTCAAATGTCTTTCCAATTTAATAAAAGTTTTAAACCTATCGAATATCTTTACGTTTAAATAAAAGTACTTAACGCATCAATTATCTTTT